ATTATTATTATTATTATTATTATTATTATTATTATTATTATTATTATTATTATTATTATTATCATCACCATTATTTCAATTTTTTTCTGTGCATCCAGGTAAACAAAGTTTCTGCGGTAACCTCTGTACCCATCCCTTTAAACCAGCCACATTCAGCAACATTGGCCCCTCCACTCCTTTACAAAAAAAAAGATGGATAGCCCTTGAATGTTAGTGCTCTATATTAGTAGCCTGTGTCTTTATCTCCTGTTATATCTGTACCTGGAGGTACCTACATGGTCTGTCTGACATAAATTTATTGACTAAAATTAGAGTGTCTACTAGAGGGAAACACAGGATTTAATTAAAACATTTTTTTAACAATTTAAGTGATAGTAAAACTCACCTAGAGCGTGATAAATAATTGATTATGCTTCAGGTTGAATTTGTTAAGTGGAAATTAAACTTGTTCCAGCAGTTTCTCGAAACTCTACGTTTATTTTTGTAGGCATAGGCCTACTGTATTTACAAAGTTAATTCATAGCATATTGTATCCTGTGTATTCAGAGAACATGTTTTATTTAATTGCATATTGTTATTCCTTGAATAATATATACATTCGTGTTTCTTGCACTTGTTTGCATATTTCACAATACCCTTCACGTCGTGTAAATATAACTATAGTATAGTCATTGTTATTCCTTGCATTCATTCGTGTTTCTCAATTACACTTAATTATTCATGGAGAAAGCAACTACTAAATCTTGAACAATATATCATTCGCAGTAGACATAATAACATTTATCTTATTCCCAAGATGTAAAATATTCCTACGAATTTTAATTTGGTCAATGCTACCACATTCTGAGTCTTGTATAAAGACAAAATCTTGGATCATTTTTCTATAGAATTATATTTCTATAGAACTATCTCTATAGAGATGGAGGTTTTATATAGAGAAATTATTCTTGGATAAAATTTTCTATAGAATTCTATAAAAACTCTTAAACCTCTATAGACTATCTATAGAATTCTATAAAATATTTTA